GCTGGTGGGCAGCAGGGCGGGGATCTTTGGTGCCACGCTGGGGTCCCAGTGGGCTGCCCCAGCCCTTCTGGGTTGCTGCTCCTGTCACTCATGAGATGTTCCCCACTTCTCTAGTCTTCCCTGCTGCCCTGGATACATTTCATTTCCCTCTCTCTGTCACCGTTTCACCGATCTCTTTCTCCCAAAAACCCAGAGCACCTAGAAATGCAGCAAAGCTTCTACTTTCTACCACTTAAAAGCCCAAGCAAGAAGCTCAGAGCTGTTCCTTCCACTTCCTCCCCAAATGGAAGAGATTAAGAAAGCCCTTGGGTCAGAACCGCACCAGGCCCAGGCCCGTGCTTCAGCCACCTCCCTCCCGCCGGTGCATGACAGAGTATTTTGTCTCAGAGGACTGTTATGCTTCCCAGTTTAATGATGAGGCTCTGCCACACTTCATCCTCCCTCCTCTGTACCCCCACCGATTCTGACAGGGTCAGAGCTCTTTAGAGCATCTTCCAGAGGCGGTTGCCACGGAGACTGGAAATTGGGCCCAGGGACAGGCTGTGCTACCTACTGGGCATGGGGAGGGATGCTTCTGGCCATCCTTAGCCATTCTGACCAGCCATCATTAATGTTAATAGAGGAAATGCAGCAATGTCAAAAGCAAGGCAGGTTTGTTAATTAGATCTGGGGTGTGATGACCTCCCTCTCCCAGGGCTGCAGCCCTTTGGACTTCCCCTGGCAGGAAGTGCTGCCTGTGTGCTGAGTCTGGGCTGTGGGCTTAATTGTGTTTCTGGAAGGGGAGGAAAGCAGGGATGAAGAACCTCTGCTCACCCCTTCCACCGCATCGCACCACTGTCTCTCCTCCCATGGGTGGAGTTGGTGTCTCCTGAGCTGGGCGGGGCAGCCATCCGGGTGGGTTCTCCTGGAGGGAGAAAGTAGGAGTCTGTCCTTGCCCCTCAGCCAAGAACCGTGGCCCCACGACAACTGGGAGGGGACTGAGGTCCCCTTGTACCTTCTTATTTCCTACTAGGAGCTGGCTGGAAGGGAGGAACTCCGAGGAACCAGAGAGACAGCCACTCTGAGTGAGGGTGAGGAAGGAGAAAGCTTCCTGCCCATGGCTGCCTCCTAGTTTGGCCACACTGGGGACAAGGGGCTCTTCTGTCTCTTCTACTGCTTTCCAAGGATGAGAGAAGAATTGTTGGCTTACTCCCTCCTCTTCCTCTTAGCCCAGACCGGCAGACATTCTCTGTGGACAAGGCCGTATGGGCTGATGCAGCTTCCGTGCTCAGGTTCGGTTGGTGGCAGACACTGGGGACGGGCGATCAAGGTGGGGCTCTGAATGTGGGCTCTGGGGCCCAGGAATTCATGGAAATGTGACGTGCCCTACAGACTTGCTGGTGGAGGAAGAAGATGTTTGTTAGCGCAAACTCCAGCTTTTTGAGCCACAATTTTATATATTTTTTAAAAAGTTTCCACGGATAATCAGAGGCCATTTACTTTTGTAATAAATAGTTCTTATTTTGAATGCCATCGTGTTCTTCTTGTCCTTAATTGAATCTGACTTTCCTTTGGGTTCCCAGAGAGAAGACAGGAATGTTTTGAGTGCAGGAACCATTCCACTGTGTCTGTGTCCGAGGCCCTGGCTGGGCAGGTGAGCCTCGTTACCCCAGGGGACATTTGGGCCCTCCCACCTACAAGGTTGCTTGAGTAATGTTGGTTGTTCTTTTAATTTATTTTAACTTATTCCAAAATAAGTAGGAAGCTGGACCTTACTTTTTCTCTTATAACTCGCCATGCAGTGGGGCAAGGAGCACGAGAGAGGAACAGTTGTCCACTCCTGAGGCAGCCGTGTGGCCCAGCATTGTAGCAGTTTCCATTGTGCTCGCCAGAGGCCCCATCCCGCCAGGGGTCTTCTGTTGTGAGGAGTGACGCTAAGGGTCCAAAAGATGTGAGATGTGTTGGCAGTAGATGGGGGAGGAGAGGAGTAGCCTCTCTGTGAAGTGGGGGCGGCCTGACTGCCCCGCCCTCTGGGGACCAGAGTGGTTGGAGGGGGTGGTGAGGGGCTCATGCAGATCTTCAGGGCATGGAAAACACCCAAGTCCGGGCGGGTTAGAAAAGGACCAAACACGTCTCGGCTGGCACAGCTTACTTTCCCAAGCCTGATGGCTCTGTGTCACCGGATCCTCATGAAGGCACAGCGAGGTCAGTGCTGGTTGATTAATCTCCCAGTGCTGAGAGGTTGTTATCTGCCGGAACATCTGCCTGAATTCCGTGCTCAGTCAACAGCAGGGCCAGGACTGAGCACCAAGCCAGCCTTTTCTGTTGCCAGCTTCGTCCTGGGGCTAGAAGCCCCTTCCCAGAACAACCTGGAAAGCCTAGATCCCTTGGGGAGAAGGCCTGGACGCAGCTCAGATGTGTCCAGATTTAGCGTGTTCCTTTGTACGTGCTGCTTAGTGCATCCACAGCTGACCCGGGGGCCGGTGTTCGCTGCTGGACCCAGCCCAGTCGTCTCTCAGGAAAAAGAGCCCTGAGAGGTGGCACTTGCCAGTTTCCGTGGTGTAAATACTCCCACCATGGCCCATTTCAGGCTACCATCCTGATGTCACTATGCGAGATTTTGGAAAGCTAGCTGTGTACAGCTGGCTCTCTGAGGCCACCTAAGAGCCAGCTCCGGGACACCACTGACCCAGACCCAGGGCCCTTGGCTTGTTCTCAACTGTGGACACAGCTCTTGCTCACAGTCTGCCAGAGTGGAGGAGGCAGTGGAGCACAGGGGCCTGGAGAATGGGCTGGAATCAGACTTGAGGGCAAATCCCGGCCCCGCCGTGTACATCCGTGGGATCTGGGACATATGACCATACCCCCGGGCTTCTGTTTCCTCCAGTGTAACCAGAGGACAACAAATGGTACCTCCTCGATAGTGGTCTGGTGAGGATGAAGAGTGAATGATGTAAAGACCCTTGCAAAGAGTTGGGACCAGATGGCCCAGTGGACGCTGGCTCTGTTCCTGTCGCCGGCTCCACGTCAACGAGCATTGGCTCTAGAACAGCACTCCCCTCGCCTCCACTAGAACCTGCTTCCAGGTCATGGGCAGATGCCAGGCAACCATAGGAGCTCCTGTGACTTCTTCAGCCCTCCAACACGGACTCAGACCCTCTGTCTCCTGGTTGGAGCACCCTCCCTACCCCTGGCCCTGCTCAGGCCCAGCCAGGTTCTCAGGTCCTTTTTCCAGAGAAGCAGAGATTATAGCACCCTGAGCCCCCTCCTCCTGACTTGAGACAGAGTGAGTGCTGCCTCCACCACTTACCAGCTAAAGCCATTAGCTGCCGTTAACTTATCAGACCCAGACCCTGTCCAAAGGGGAGAGGAGGCAAGAAGGTCCCCAGTGTAGATTCTTGCCAGGAAGTGCACACTGAGTGGGGTGGGAGGCCTTAGATAAGCCAGGTGACCTGCACAAGGCACAGAGCATCTGGGCACTGAAAGGTGGAAGTCACCAGAGACCTATGTGGCCTTCCCCCCAAGACCTGCGGACCTGGCTGCAGGGCCATGGGTACTGAATGAGAAATCCAGCCCCCGAGTAACCTAGCTTTCCTCTCCCTTTTGCCTCCAGTCCCTTTGTGCTCTTACTCGGGGATCTTGGACTCTTTCGGACAAAAGCCAGGCTGCCTTACCCTTGCTCTCCTGCTCAGCGCAGAGACCCCAGAGGTGTGTGGGGAGATGGGGAAGAAAGGAATAGGGTATACTCCAAATTCCTGGGCATGGAGCCTCAGCCTGTTCATGACCCCTGGCCTGAATACCATCTTGTATCCATGAGCCAAAGGAGGTGGGCTGAAAGGCTCCTTGAGACTCTACTACCCGACCCCCTTACTGAGGACACTGAAAGAGAGAAGCAAGGAGGCTGAGAGGAGCTGGGCTCAGAGACTGGAAATAATGAAGGATAAATGAGGGTTTGGCTCTCCAAAGCCTGGGTGACTAGCCCTGGGCCGGAGGAACTTTCATGCTTGAAAGAAAAATGCTTTGGGGCACCTGGGTGGCTTAGTCAGTTAAGCCTCCAACTTGGTTTTGGGCTCGGGTCATGATCTCAGGGTCCTGGTGTGGGGCTCCTTGCTCAGTGGGGAGTCTGTCTCTCTCCCGCTGCCCCTCCCCCACCCCCTTAAAAAAAGAGAGAATCAAGCTTGGGCCTAACAGGTGGCCAGCTTCATACCCTGAATGACAAGCATGAGATTCTACTATCTGAACTTCAATTGAAAGAACAAAATAGTACTTCTATTTAAAATTTTTAAAAGTCTATTGAAAATCGTGGAATAGTAGAATGCTGGAACTTAGCTCCCTGGATGTCCAGGTACTGCAGTGGTCCCAGCTGCAGGGCCCTAGACCTGGCCCTGGCCAAGCAGAGCTGCAGCCAGACTGGAGCTGTCTCAAGACCCCGCAGGCCTGACTGGAAATGGGGGCGGTCCTGGCCCTGGCCCTAAGATGTCAGAGCCCTGGTGTGCAGGGACAGGGGTTGGGGGTGGAGGTGGAGGATGGCTCCGTAAGACACAGAGTCGGGCAGAGGGCCTCTCCAGCCTCAGCCTGGTCACACAGGCAGGTGCTGGGCATCCCCCGGTCCCACGTGGGGGCAGAAGGAAGGAGAACCTGTGTCAAAGGGGTGGCGAACTCTAATGCCTCCAGGTAGCACCTGAGGGAAGCTTGTGGAGAGGTGGCACGCGCAAAGCCTACCTAACGCGGTCAAGTTAAGTTAATGCCCTAACCAGCAAGTGGTGGAATCATCACCAGTTTCCGGATGAAAAACTGAGGCCCAGAGAGACTCGACGATTTCTGTGAAGCTCTGAAGCCCAGGCGTTTCCCGGGCCACCAGGTCGTCCCTGGCCACAGCCGGTTGCCCAGAGATGAGCGCCTTGACGGACGGAGGGGGGCGGGGGCCGCGGTTGCTTTAAAGCGCCCGGGCCGGGCGGCGCGGGGCGGGGCGCTGTCGGAGCCGCGGGGCGCAGGGCGCAGAGGCCGGAGCGGGGTCCCCGGAAGCGCCAGCCGGGCGGGCACGGCGGGGCGCCTCCACCTGGGGCGGGGAGGGAGCGGTGGTAGGCCCCCGCCCGGCGGGGGGGGGGCGCCGTACGGGGGTGCAGAGTGGCCAGCGTCGCCGCGGAGATGGCGCGGCACGTGCGGTGACGGTGCCCGCGCCCCGAGGGTCCCAGCCTCGCGTCCCGCGTCCCCGGGCGACCATGGAGCGCCCGGAGCCCGAGCTGATCCGGCAGAGCTGGCGGGCGGTGAGCCGCAGCCCGCTGGAGCACGGCACCGTGCTGTTCGCCAGGTGAGGGCTCCCCGAGCGCCCCGGGGGTGCGGGTGGCGGGGTGCCTTGCCAGAAATGGATTCCCGGCGGCTGAACCGGAAGGGTCCGGAAGGGGAGGGAAGGTTGGCCCGCTGCCCTGGCGCCGGGGCCCTTCCAGATGTGCGCCAGAGGAGCGAGCGCAGCGACGGGTGGCGCAGCCCCTTCTGTGCTCCACACCTCCCCCCCTCCCACCTCCAGCGGTGGGCGCGCTTGCGGCGACTCTCCGGGGACGGGCGGGGGTCCTCCCCGGCGGATCTCCTTCCACTCCGGCCAGCAGGCGCTGCTCCCCGTGCTGCGCCCCTTCCCTGGCTCGGCTCCTTAGTGCTCAGTCCTTGGGTGGTGCCTGAAGTGTCCCCCCCACCCCGAGGGCTCATGCGGGGAGGCTTTGCTGGGGCTCCTGAAGGGAGGGCACGGTCCAGGCCCTAAGGGTGCACACGGCCAGCAGCCGGCAGAAGGGCAAACATTTCCCAGGGAAGGACCGGGCTAGGACAGGAGAACCGCCAGGGCAGGGATGATAGGACCCCCATGGCTCACCACTCGGGAGAGGGGTGCGCAGACCCCAAGGGGAAGGGAGGTCAGTTTCCAACTTTACCCTGAGAGTCTCTAGGTAACCCCTCAGCCATCTGCAGAGGCAATGGTCTGTCACCATGGTTTCTCAGGAGTTTGGCTCCCAAAGCCAGCCCAGAACTCCTGAGGAGGCTTTTGCAAAACCTCCTCCCCAAGGGGGGAATGCATTTGCAGGGCTGCGCAAAAGCCCAGCAAGCCCTCTCAGAAGGGACTGAGAGCTTCTGCTTGTGCCACGGTTTTCTCCGTGGGTTTAGGGACCCTCTGTGGTTCTGTTACTTCAAGCTGTGTGATCACAGGAAGCTTACTTAAACTCTCTGGGCTTCTGTTTCCTCCTCTGTAAGACTGGGATAACAGTTATACCTACTGCTTAGGATTGTGAGGGATCCGTAAGTTAACCACATGTAAAGTACTCAATGTCCAGTAAGTGTAAGGAGTTCTTAATAGTTTGTCATCACTGGCCCAAGCCCCTGCAGACATGATGAGACTAGAAGGTTCTGGCCAAGAGTGGAAGGGAGAGAGAGAGACGGAGACAGAGAAGGGAAGAGAGAGAGAAGGGCTTTCCTATTTGAGGACTCCTTCCTCTCCCAGCCCTCTGAACTATTTATAGAGGGGCTGCTGTATGCTGGGTCCTATGAGAGGCCTAGGGACTCATTGTTCTTTTCAGGGTGCCCCATGGGCCGGTAGGAGAGGTGGGAAAGGGGTCAGTGCCAGGTTGGAGGGTGTGTTCTGGCTTCCAGCTGAATCCCTGCCTCCCTACCCCTAGCCCGGCGCCACTGGGCCCCCAGGGCTCCTGGGGCTGACGCCTGGTCTCCCCCCACAGGCTGTTTGACCTGGAGCCTGACCTGCTGCCACTCTTCCAGTATAACTGCCGCCAGTTCTCCAGCCCGGAGGACTGCCTGTCGTCCCCCGAGTTCCTGGACCACATCAGGAAGGTGAGGCGGAGGTGGAGCAGCCTGGAAGTCCAGCAGAAGGTCCTCCCAGGACAGAATGGGAGACTCGGGCTAGGGGAGGTTATTTCTGCCCTGGCCTGGTCTCATTCCCCTTCTGCTGTGCACCCCATCCACTACCCCGCCACACACACACACACACACACACACACACACACCCAGCCACCCCATGCTAGAGGCTTCTGCTCCTTGCTGGCTGTGCTGAATGGGGCAGAGCCTCAGCCAACTTGTCCCTGCTCCCCCCTTGCCCTCAGCGTTGGCACTGATCCACTAGGGGTTCCCTTAGAGGCTCATGACTCTCACAGTGTCTCAGTTTCTCCTCGGCCGGGGCAGACAGCACCGTCCCACTGCCATGTTGTGGGCCCTGAGACCCTCAGAGGAGAGGAGCTGCCTTCACAGTATAACACTGGTAGTCTGGCCACATGTTGAGTGCCTACTCTATGTAGGCACAGATTGCCTTGCATTTCTTTTCTTTTCCTTCCTTCCTTCCCTCCTTCCCTCCTCCCCTCCCTCCTTCCTTCCTTCCTCTCTTTCTTTCTTGTTAAGATTTTATCTTGTTTTTTAAAGTTATCTGTACACCCAGCCTGGTGCTTGAACTTACAACCCCGAGCTCAAGAGTCACACGCTCCACCAATGAAGCCAGCCAGATGCCCCATGGCCTTGCATTTCCAGATCCTGGAATACAAGGTCCTGGTTGACCTGTCCTACTCTAGGTTGGGACCCCCCAGGTTCTGGACTATGGTTGTGAGCAGGTGGGATTGCTCTGGCCTCTCCGGTTCACTGCTGCCTTGGCCTTGGCAGGTGATGCTCGTGATTGACACTGCAGTGACCAATGTAGAGGATCTGTCCTCGCTGGAGGACTACCTTGCCGGCCTGGGCAAGAAGCACCGTGCAGTGGGTGTGAAGCTCAGCTCCTTCTCGGTGGGTAGAGGCACTTCCTGACCCTAGGCCACCATGCTCCCAGTCCTCCCTGTCCATCTGTTCTTCCTCCCCATTCCCACACCCTCAGATGACTAGGGCTGGTGGGCTGCAACTGTTACTTCCGTGCTGTGTGACTCCTGGCACTGCCTTGACCTCTCTGAGCCTCCAATTTTTCTTCCCTGGTGTAGCTTTTCTTAGAACCATGGACAGTTCAAGAGCGCCTGGGATTAGCCAGTCTGCTTGGTTTCCTATCGCTGTGTATAAAACCATCCCAAGCAAACGATTGCTCCTTTCTCTGGGTTCAGTGGGGGCAGTGCTTTTGTTCCATGTGGCGGGCCTGGAGGCTCTCACGTACTGCACTCAGCTGGGGGCTCAGCTGGGCTGCTGCATCCAGGATGGCCTGCCATCCTTCAGGATCTCTTTCCCTTTGGAGTCTCGTTATTTGGTGGCCCCTCTGAGCTTCCTTGCAGAGTGGCGCCTGGATTCCCAGAGGGTGGAGCCCCGGTGTGCCCGTCCTCTTCCAGCCCCTGCTTGCATCCCTCCTGGTGACGGCTCAGGGTGGAGCGACCCCACTCAGCGGGCGTGAATCCCCGAAGTGTGGTTCACTGGAGGCTGCTGACGTGACAGTCTACCCCAGAGTCCCCTTCTCTCGCCAGATGGTCAGCACCCAGAGGAAGGGGCAGAGTTAGTCTTGTCCTGTCTCGAGCACTGCCAAAGTGCCTGGTCTTTAGTGGATCTTCTGGATCTTCAGTAAATATTTCAGTATTTCAGTAAATATTTGTGGACTAAGTAAACCATATTTTGTTCTAACAGTAACAAATGAGAGCCATTGTTATTCTTGAAGGCTTACTGTGTACAGATGCTGTGCTAAGAGCTTTCTGTAGGTGATCTCATTTGCTTGTCCCAGCAATCCAATGAATTGGAATTTTTACTTTCCCTGTTTAACTGAAGAAGCAACTGAGGCTCAGAGAGGTCACAAAACTTGCTCAAGGCCACACAGCTCATAAACGGTAGAATAAGCAAGTGAACCCTGGTCTTGTCTAGTTGCAGAGTCTGGGCTCTTAATACCATGAGTGAAGCCTTGCAGAGGAGGAAATGGAGGCCTTGGGGCAATGACTTTGCTTTCTCTAGGGTGGGGGCTCCCAGGCAAGGCCTTGGCCCCAGTCATAGGGTGGTGTAAAGGCTGGGAATGGAGTGAAATACTTCAGGCACTATAAAGCCTCAGATTTAGGGGGAAAGGTGGGTCCCCTATGGTACCCAAGGATTGGGGCAGAATCCTGCTTGGGAAGCATGGACCCCGTGCAGGAGACAAGAAGGGTCCCCGGCCTCAGTTTTCTCACCTGTGGAATGGAGCAATGCCTTCCCGCCTTTAGGAATGACAAGGTGCCTCTTGCCTCTGCAGACGGTGGGTGAGTCCCTGCTCTACATGTTGGAGAAATGCCTGGGTCCCGCGTTCACACCAGCCATGCGGGCCGCCTGGAGCCAGCTCTACGGGGCCGTGGTACAGGCCATGAGTCGAGGCTGGGATGGCGAGTAAGAGGCGCGGCCCCTGCCCAGGGGCCTCCACCTGGCGGCTGCCATCTTTTTGTGTCTGCCTGTTGCTCTGTGTCTGTGGTAGCCCAGGCTCCCTTAGGCCTCCCTGCATCGTGGTTCTTATCCCCTTGGCTGTCCTGGGAGGTGACAGAGCAGGACTGGGTCTCCATCCCCCTCACCTCCAACTGTAGATGGGGGTGGCTTTTCCTTCCACAAGGGGATTTCCCTGCACCCCTAGTAGCCTCTTCCTTGCCTGCCTTCTTTCTCTCTGGCATCCCCTTCTCCACTAGGAGAAGAGCAGTGTTTGACCACAGAGGTGGTATGGGGCTGGGAAGGTGAAGAGCTCTGATAGCATGGGTGCTTGTCAGCCGCCCTCGTCAGGCGGGCCTAGGCCAAGCAGGGGAGTGGGGGGCAGAGCTTCGGACACCTTCCCGTTTTGCCTGTCTTCCATGCTTTTCTCTCCCAGGGGCCTTTGCCTTTCACAAGTAAAGAGGAGGGACTTTGTTAGCCTTCGTGGTAGAATCCCAGGGAGTGGGAGCAGGTAGTCAAGGGAACCGCTGAGGACGGGAGAGCTGACCTCATCTGGGTCCCAGATGCCCCCTGCCAGGGTAGTATTTCTTTTGCTATATCCCGTTCCCCCATTCAAGCTGCTGCTGGGAGCTCCTTTAGTACCACTCTGCAGGAACAGCTAGCCAGCCGGGGGAGGGGGGTGAAAGGGAAGGGGGAAGTGCAAGGAAGGAGGGGTGATTTCATTTCAAAGAGCCAAAGAGACCTGAGTTCTGATGGCTCTTCCCCACCTGCTCCAGCAGGGCTGGGTCTTATCCCCGCCCCCCACCCCAACCTCCTTTCTGCCACTGCTCACGTGGACTGTGGGGCCACAGCTCCCCATGTTTAATACCTGCTGTGTGCCTGGACCTAGGCTGCTGGACCAGAGAGAGAGTGGCCGGAGAGGCCCTCCGCCCTCACCCCAAGCTGTCTGCACTCTTACCTTCTGCTCCGTGCGGTGGTTGTGTAACCTCATGAGGAATAAACCTGCTCTGTGTGCCTCTCTGACCTGCCGGGACTGGTCCTTTCTTGGTTGTTGGCTTGTGGCCAGAGGAAGCTGCAGGTCAGGGGACCTAAGGGCAAGGTGGGAGGATGGGGTGGGGAGGGCCGAGGCCAAGGTGGGTATAAGAGAAAGGAGGGGCATGGGGAAGGCCAGAAGCCGGTGGCAGAGATGGAGCTGGGGGTCTGTGATGGAAACTGGCTGGCGGGGCACCAAGCTCAATTCTTCTTCTTCTGGGGCATGAAGCCAGACAACATTTCCCAGCCTCCTTTGCAATTAGGTGGGGGCATGTGACAGAATTCTGACCAATGGAATGTGTGGACATGTGCACCCCCTCAAACTCCTGCATGCTCCTCTGAGTTCTGTGATCCCTCTACCAAGCCTGATGCACAGCTTACAGTGACCTTGAGGGCCACGTGTTGAAGGTGGCAGAGCCACAAGGTGGAAGGAGCCTGGGTTCCTGAAGTGCTGCTTGGAGGAGCGTACCCACTAATCAGAAGTACCGGGTAGGACCCAGGAGCTTCTCCATCCTGTGCAACGAGGACTCACCCATTTTGAATTTTATAGGAAAGAGACATAAACTTCTATTGTGTTTGTGCCATTATACATTTGGGGTTGTTTTGTTCCAACACACACCCACACTAATCCACGGTATGAAGCAGATCGCTGGTCAGGAGTCTGGGAGCCCACCTCCTGGGGGACAAGGTCAGGCCAGGGAGAGGAGTGGGCCAGGTGCTGGGGCAGCAGCAGAGGGCCCCAAAGATTCACAAGGTCTCCGAGGAAATCTTGTAGACCTTCCCTGGTTGGGCAGGTTCCAATTCCAGAGTGGGCTTTTTTAAGGAGATTAAATGGGTTTACCTTTCCAGAGTTGAAGAGTGAGTGTGAGCAAGTGTGACCATGTGTGAGCGTGTGTGTGTGTGTGTGTGTGTGGTCAGGAGGATCAGGCAGATGGGGGTAGAGACCCAGCCAGGACCTGGGGACGGGCAGCAGCATTTAGAGTGGGTCTCACGTGAACAGGTTGTGAATGGCTGGAGGGCCGCCCCTGGGCCCGCTGGTGTTGACCTAAGACTTTAGTTTTCTCAGCCCAGACCAATGTTGTTGGTGCCGCCAGGGCCTCTCTAGCTCCCAGCTGGAGCCTCGTTTTGGGTAAGCTCAGGTGACCGGGCCTGGCAGCCTGTGTGGCTACGGACATGGAGCCTGGGGCATGTTAGGAATGCTCTTCCCTGCTGTGGCACAAGAATTTTCTCTGGAGCTCAGGGCTCCGGGGAGAGAGGGCCTCCTCCACCGTGAGCCCTAGTAACATTGGTAACTCGGGGGGCCACACCGGGCCTGTAGCTCCCGAATATTTCGCTGGGGTGGCCTGGTTCCGAAAAAGCCCAGCGGCCTTCTGTGCCCTGGAGCTTGGGCCATCCTAAGCTCAGGTTGTGTGTGTGTGCATGTGTGTGTGCGAGTGTGTGTGTGCCTGTGGTGGGGTGTGGTTGCTTCTTCCTCCGTTCCCATCTCAGCTCTGATTTCTCTCCTGTGTACCTCTGCATTCTGCCAGCCCCCATCTGCCATCTTCTACAAGGGGCCACCCCTCCCTCAGCCCTTCCCTTGCCAGCTACCACCCTGCTTCTCTACCTCCTCTGGTAGCAGAACCCTTCCGAAGGGTCTTCCCTCACCATTCTCCACATTCCTTTGAGAGAGTGGGGACCTACTTGACCAGGCTTTCATGCCTGCCCCCTTCTGTTCCACCAGGCTCCCCCAGGACCTCCATCCCGCCCAGGTCAGAGCCTGAGTCCCTGTTCTCACCTTGCTCCTCTGATCAGCAGCTCTTGGAAGAATTGATCACTCATTCCTTTTAAACTTTTTCTTCTAGAAAAATGTCACATACACAAAAACCTGAGCCTAGTGAATCTCTGTGTGCCCTTCACCCAGCATCGATGTGAGCAACTCCAGACCTCCCCCACCCCCTTTATTCTGCAGAGAGGTTTTGCTTTTCTTTTTAAGATTTTATTTATTTATTTGACAGAGAGAGAGATCTCAAGTAGGCAGAGAGGCAGGCATAGAGAGAGAGGGAAGCAGGCTCCCTGCTGAGCAGAGACCCCCCCCCAATGCGGGGCTTGATCCCAGGACCCCAAGATCATGACCCAAGCCGAAGGCAGAGGCTTTAACCCACTGAGCCACCAGGCGCCCCTATTGTGCTGGAGAGTTTTTAAAAAGTGAATCTCAGACTTCATGCTCTTTCTCCTGTAAAGTCTTCCACGGAAACATGTGGCTGATGATACCTTTTCCACCTTAATCTCCGCCATCAAAATACCTGCCAAGATGAGCAGTATCTCTTAGCATCGCCTAATACCCGGGCTGGTTCTAGATTCCCCTGATTCCAGATTCCCTGATTCCAGATTCCCCTGATATCTTTTGCAGGTGGTTTGGTCAGTCAAGGACCAAACATGGCTTCTGGTTGGGCCTCTTAAACTTCTCATTCTCAGCCAGCCCCTGTCCCTTCTCCCTATGCCTTTGATCTGTGGGAGAAACCCGCTCACTTGTCCAGTGGCATCTCAGCGTTCTGAGTTGGCTGGTGCTTTCTTGGGGGTGTCTTTGAACTTACTCCTCTGTGCCCCGTAGTCACTGACACATGTGGTCAGCACTGGGTGCTCCCTGCTTCCTTTCTGAGTCCTTTTCTTCCCCCTTGGATTCCAGATGCCAGGGTCTCCCGGTTTTCCTCTTTCATCAATGCCCATTCTTCTGCTCCCTGAAGATTCCCCTCCCATCTGCCCTGGACTCCCCTGGCCTCCAGCTCGTGTCCCAGACGGTCCCATGCTTTAAACACCCTGGAGGGATGCTGATGACTCCGGTCACATCTCCAGCCTAACGCCCCCCACTCCAGACCCATATCCAGCCACTGCCTAACGTCCCTACTACACATTTCAAGCATGACACCACCAAAGTAGAGCCTGGTATGTTCCCTGACAGGCTCCTTCCAGCATCCTGTGCCTTGGTAAACCCGTTTATCCAGCCATTCAGGCAAAAGAACTGGGAGGCCCTCCGCACTTCCTTGCTTTCTCTCAGACCCCACATCTAATCCGTCCACGAGTCCTCAGACCTGATCCGAGCTTCTCCCTCTTCCTCCTTATTCCTTGCCCCAGTCTTGTCGGAGCTACCACGGTGTCTCCCTGGAGGCCTCCTGCAGAGCCCCAGTGGGGTTTTGTCCTCCACGTTGTCTCCACCGAGAGGTTGCAATGATCACCTCTGAGCCTAAGGTGATTATATCTCTTACCCACTTGGAATCCTCCAGTAGCCTCCACATCGCTGGAGTAAAGCCCAGGGTCCTGCTGCCCTCCCAGACGGCCTCCCCCTGCTGTATATTTATTTCCTCCGGATCTGCCCCCCACCCCCTCCATGCAGCCCCCACGCCCCCACGTCTCCCCTCCAGAGCCTCCCCATGTGCAGCCACTCCCCACCCTTCCTCAAAGCACTTGACCCTGCTGACATCCATCATATACATGGCTTATTGCATTTATAATCTTGCAACCCAAATGGGAAGGTTGCCGTGAAAGCCACGTGGGACTCTGTGTTCAGAAGGGAAAGGAGCAGCGATTCTTCAGGACTTGTTGATGACATGGTGGCCTCAAGTGATCCTTGAGGCCCTGTGTGTGTCCCTCCGGCTCAAACAATGGTCCTTGTTACAAAGTAAGATGATGATAACGGAAGTTGTGCGGGTGCTAGGGATTAATCGCTTAGAAGACAGGAGACAAATGTTCGGGCCTATGGATGGCCTACCCACACCGGACATCTGAGCTCCCTGGAGGCCTTCCCAGCCTGCGGCTTTGTCCTTAGATACGCTGCCGGCTGGCACGCTCCAAGGAAGATAGAGCGGGAGGGGCTGAGATCAGCTTCCCCCCTCTCTTGTCCACAAGAACCTTGCCCTCTCTACCCTCCCGGACACTAGAGTCAGCTGGGGGGGGGGCTTTTGTAAAACAGGGGTGCCTGGGCCCCACCCCAGAAACTTTGGGTTGTTCGGGGATGGGGCGTGGACACTGGGATCGTTTAAACTCTCCCGGGAGATTCTCGCAGCCAGGGTGGAGAATGGCAGCGTCTGCGGCTGGAGATCTGCAGGACTGTCGGGGCCAGGGCCCATCTGATGTTTAGAAAGCAGCCCTGCTGAGAAAACCGTGCACTGCCTTCCTGTAAGCCAGTTCCCCCCGCTCGCCTGGGGCCTGCTCCAGAGCTGACTCAGGAAACCGGCTGTGGCCAGCTCCAAGTGTCCTCGGGACAGACCTGAGCTCCCCCCAGCTCTACAGAATTAGGTGGTGGGGAGCCAGCCCTGGATGAGCCCGAAGCCGCCCCAAAGTTTGGCCTCTAGGCAGAGGGTCCCAGAGCCCAGTGGCCTCCTGTAGCCCACAGTCCGGCATGCAGTCAGGGGCTCCAGTGCCCCGGTGGGCACAGCCCTGTCTGGTGGCAGTCCTGGACCTCCCTAGCACCAGGCCTCCCTCCTGGCCTCCCTCTTGGCCTGTGCCATAGTCTCATTCCCAGCCCCGCTCTATCAATCATCTAGGTCTCCAGTCCTGCTGGCCCGCTGGTACAGACTGACCAAGCCCTACCCTCCCTTTAGGACTTGACATGGCTGGAGCGATAGCCAACCCTTTGCAGCTTCTTTGTCTATCTGTCTGTCTTACCCTGAGCAAAGTCCCCTGAAATGTCCACTGAACCAAGGCATGGCCCAGAGCTGTGATCTCGGGGACCCTGGAGGCTGTCGAGGAGAGCCTGAGAGACAGCTGTTACAAGGCTTTGAAAATCCCA